TGAGGCGGGGTCGGATGTGGCAGAGGTGGGGTCTGGAGCGGCTGAGGAGCCTCAGGCAGTAGGGTCTACGGAGGACCTCTGTTTGACCCTCCGTATAAGGGAGGTAGAGGTTCGCGCTAAAGAGCTTGAGGTGCAAGCTATGCACCTCCGGGTCAGAGCGTTGGAGTTGCGTAAGCCCGCCGCTGTCTAGACACCTGCTTCCGCTGCCTCCACACCTGTCTCGAGTCGCCCTGACACATCCACAGTTGCTTCACCAAGTTTTGACATCACCAAACATGTTAAACTAGTACCTCCGTTTCGGGAGTCCGAGGTTGATTCCTATTTTAACGCTTTTGAGCGTATAGCAGCTGCATTGAGTTGGCCTAAGGAGTTCTGGGCGCTGCTACTCCAGCGTAAGTTAATCGGCAAGGCTCAGGAAGTATGTACTAGCCTTTCCATTAATGACAGCCTCCAATATGATATTGTAAAAAAATCAATTCTGCACGCATATGAATTAGTTCCTGAAGCTTACCGTCAGAAATTTCGTAAAAGTAAAAAGACCGCTGAACAAACCTTTGTGGAGTTTGCCCGTGAGAAACATCACTTGTTTGAACGCTGGATGCAAGCCAGCAAAGTGAAGGATATTGAGGGATTGAAGGAGTTGGTTCTTTTAGAAGAATTTAAAAAGTGTCTCCCGGATCAGTTGGTAGTTTATCTAAATGAGCAGAAGGTGATGTCCCTGGCAAAAGCAGCAGTTTTAGCAGATGAATTCACCCTCACACATAAAATCATTTTTCCATTTTCAACCGGGGCAGGACGAGAAGTGAGGGGAGAGCAGGAGAAGAGACAAAAATCTCCTAAACAGACCCAAAGGGCGATACAGGAGGAAACTGAAAGGCGGGAATGTTTTTATTGCCGTGAGTCTGGTCACCTGATCGCCAGTTGTCCTGCGCTGCGGAAGAAAGAGCAGCGCAGAGGGTCTAAGGGACCCGTGGGGCTCATTAAAGTAGTTTCCCCACCTATCGGTCCTGATCAGACGTAGGGGTGTGACCCAGAGATGGAGGTAGAGTCCCCTTTTAAACCTTTCCTTTCCCAAGGCTTCGTTTCGGTGGCAGGAGAAGAGAAGGACAGGGTTCCTATCACCATTCTCCGAGACACCGGGGCACATCAATCTTTTATGTTAGATGATGTGTTGCCACTGTCGGATAAAACCGCCTGCCACACGGATGTGTTGGTGTGGGGAATTGTTCTTCAGGCGCCCCTTCACAGAGTATATCTACACTCACCTATCACAACTGGACCTGTGAAGGTCGCCATAAGACGACAGTTGCTGTTTAAAGGTGTGTCCTTTATCTTGGGCAACGATTTGGCCGGGGGGGAAGTGTTTCCACCGCCTGAAGTGATGGATACACCTGTTGCAGCTGATCCAAAAGCGACAGTTTTTTCCTGTTTGCGCTGTTACGCGGGCGGAAGCGCACAAATTTGCTGATGTGGTTAGTATCGCAGATACATTTGTGGCTGGGGAGCAAAAACCTTCTGTACGGGAGAAAGACAGTGTGGGGGATAAATACAGTGTGCTAAACTTAATACCGGCATTGAGCGGCGATGTGAATAAAGACGCTTTGGTAAGCGCTCAGGAAAACAACAAGTCTTTGAGTTCCTGTTTTGCAGCCGTTGTCACGGCTGGGGAAAGCACCCTTCCCCGTTTTTTCCTGCAGGATGGCGTGTTAATGAGGTGGTGGTCTTCTGATCAGAGTGGAACATCAAGTGTTACACAGGTGGTGGTACCATCTCAGCATCGTGATCAGGTGCTAAACTTAGCACATGACGTCGGCATGGCTGGGCACCTCGGAATAAATAAAACTTATTACCGAGTGCTGGGCAATTTCTTTTGGCCTGGCCGTGTAGTGTACCTGACTATGTGAGTCAGCTTCGAGATAGGCTTCGCCTAGCGTGGAAAATAGCCGGGGAAAACTTAAAGCAAGTGCAAACTAAAATGAAGGCTCGTTTTGACAAAAAAGCTGTGGATAGAAGTTTTCAACCAGGGGAGAAGGTGTTGATGTTACTGCCTGTGGTAGGGTCCAGTTTACTAACACAGTTTGCTGGTCCTTACAGTATGGAATATAAACTTGACAATAACCATTATGTGATTCGCACTCCAGATCGGCGGCGAAAAACCAGGGTTTGTCATGTGAATACGTTGAAACTGTTCTATCCCTCCAAGTACTAACCAAGCCCATCCCTGCTTAGCTTCCGAGATCAGACGAGGTCGGGCTTGCTCAGGGTGGTATGGCCATGCTCTCCCTTGTTTTAAATGCACTTTAGAACAACACGCAGCAACACTACACATGAGCGGGAGGAGGGAGGTATGGGGTCTTCACACACCCCCGTTCTCTGCTAGTCATTGGAGCGGGGGGGCTGGGAGGAGATGTTAGCTGTCCGATTGGCCTCCCTGCTGCTGCGGAGCCTGGGACGGTCTGCTTGCCTCCACCCCGGGGGGAAGGGTAACATCTCTTGGGTCTGGGTTCTGTTTCCCCCTCTGGGGGCGAGGGTACCTGGACCCGGGGTATAGAGTATGTTTGGGGAGTGTGATTGTGTGTACATGTCCATTTATGTCAATCCTTCCATTGGGTGAGTGCTGAGTGTTTGTATATGTGTGCATGAGGGTGGGAATGCATGTTTGTGTCTGTGTGTGCCTGTTTGTCTGTGTCTATATGTCAGGTCGGGTCTTACACTCCACCTCTCTGGAAACTCCCAGGCCCTCCAAGGCCTATCTCCCCTCACCACACTCCCTGCCGGTGACTGATGCCCTCAGGGGTCGGTGCATTGGTGGTTCTTGGTGTCCGGGGCTGGGCGCTCAGGTATGTACCGGCTCACTCCCAGTGGCTGCCTGGCGGGGCCTGGCACCTGTTGCTCAGTCAGGCCTCCTCCGGGGTGCAGGGGGCCTCTGGGCCTGCGGCTCGATTCACTCTGGCACAGCTGGCTGCCGGCAGAGCCGGCGGGCACGCCGGTGCAGCCCCCTCTAGCTTCTGCTCGGTGGATACTGGGTGACGCCTCGTCTGGGGAATCTCAGCCCTTCCCATGAGGGTGGCACGGATGCCCCTCCGGTGGTCCTCTTTGGGCTCTCGTGCTCTGGGAGCCTCTGGATGTCTGGGGCCTGGATCTCCTCCATGCCTGCTTCATGCCCTGGGGGACAGGGCTATGGCTCGCTACATCCTCTTGCAGACCATTACATGTGGAAACCATTTGAATACAAGCGCGCTGATCCACACAGGTATGCACACGGGTGTTCACTGCTCGTAGACTTAAATTACACCTTTCTTGGCTGCTACTTCAAAGCACATTGTGCGCTGTCTGTCCTGCGTGCTGCACAGCAACATTGAATATTCAGTATTTACTGCTGTTTACACTTAGCTAGATTAATGTGATGGTGTTGTGTTTAGTATGTTGCTTTGGGTTTTTTTTGCTTGTTTTCTATTCTTCTTCTCTCAACAGGTGATCCAGGAGATTTTTTTTTCTCCCCCCCTTTCTCACTGTCCCTCTCCCCTTCTGTTTTTCTTTTCCTTCCTCTTTCTTTCTCCCTTTCCTATCCCTCACTCATGTCTGTCCCGTCTGTAACATCTGAAAATAAAATATAATAAACAATAAAAACAAAGGTCAATCAAATGGACCAATACGGCAATGCCACGATGATCCATTTGGCAAAGTAAATCCATTGGGTATCCTTGTTGGTCTTCAGACAACAATTCTGATGGCTAAAGAACCAAATGGGACAGGCAAAAAAAAGAAAAAAAAGAAACTGTTCTATCCCTGTAAGCAAAATACAACAGCGCCCCCGGTGTGCGCTGTTGCCATCCTCCCCGCCTACAAACTGTCGGATGACGGATTATCTGGGAGGGATGATGCTGCATTAGGTAGTGGGCTGAAAAATTCAGTAATTTTAAATGATCTTGAATCACTTGTTGCCGATTTACCTGAAACTGCTCAAACTGATATCATTACTCTGACAAAAAATAACTTTTCTCTGATCACCCGCGCCAAACGACTGTCTTAAGTCATGACATTGATGTGGAGGGGCATAAGCCAATTAAACAACATGCGTACCGGGTGAATCCAGTAAAAAGGGAAATAATGCAGAGAGAAGTCAATTACCTCCTTGAGCATGGCTTAGCCGTTCCAAGTGCTAGTGCATGGAGCTCCCCATGTGTGTTAGTGCCCAAATCTGACAATACTCCTCGATTCTGCACGGATTATCGAAAGGTGAATGCGGCCACTAAAGCAGACTCTTTCCCATTACCTAGGATGGATGACTGTGTTGATCGGATGGGATCCGCTACTTATGTGACCAAATTGGATTTATTAAAGGGATATTGGCAGGTTCCTTTAACTGCAAGAGCGTCTGAGATCTCTGCATTCGTTACCCCCGATCACTTCCTTCAGTATACCGTGATGCCCTTTGGTTTGCATAATGCGGCAGCGACATTTCAGCGCCTGATGGCTAAGGTTTTGGCCGGGGTCCCTAACTGTGAGGCCTAATTAGATGATGTGGTCATTTATTCTGCTTCCTGGAGCAGTTATCTCCAAACCCTCTTAACTGTTTTTAAGCGTTTCGAGGAAGCATCACTCACTGTAAATCTGACTAAATGTGAGTTTGGAAGAGCCATATATATATATATATATATATATATATATATATATATATATAGATATTTATATTTTCCATACAGGTAATCTTGACATAAAACAAGAAGTAAACTGAAAGATGGGCCAAACATATATTATATAGATATAGATGCAAACAGAAGAAACACGGGAGCCATCTTTAATCTCCAACCTATTATGGCGGTAGGGCCAATCATCAGCCTCGAGGGACACTGGGTTTTTGTTTTGTTTTGGGGGGTTTTGTTCTATTTGTTTGCTTTTTAAATAACATATATACATTTTATCTTAGTGAAGCAGATACATAGTTTTTCTGTCAGCACTAATCTCCAGTGTTTACAGCCTTCTCTCTTTTTGAACAGGTAAATGCATTCCTGTCCTTTGTCATACCGATGGTGGCCATATCTGTTCTGAATGGGGTCATTGCCAATCAGCTGTTGCGGATGTTTCGTGAGGCTGAGCAAGACAACCGTGTCTGCATGATTGGTGCAAATCCCACCATGCTGAATTTCACTGTGGAGTCCAACCGTGCTCAGTCGCTACGCCATGGAGTTCTTGTTCTCCGTAAGTAAACACTCCAACACTTTTCTGACAGGAATGGGATCTGGTGTGGTCTTCTGCTGCTGTTCAAGGGTTAGCAGGTTGTGCATTTTTTTGCATACCTGAATTGTAGCAAATGGTTATTAGTTTTCTGTTGCTTTGCTAACGGCTCAAAGCAGTTTGGTCATTCTCCTTTGACTTGAGGCATCAAGACATTTTCTGCTGTCATTGAACATGCAACTAAACATAATAATAATAATAATAATGGATACTTTATTGATCCCCATGGGGAAATTACTTGTTTTTCTCTGCATTTGACCCATTCACTCAGTGAAGCAGTGGGCAGCCCACTAAGCAGGCGCCCGGGGAGCAGTGTGTAGGGACGGTACCTTGCTCAGGGGTACCTCAGGGTAGCCGTTAAGTGGATTCGAACCGCCGACCTTCCGATCATGGGGCGACCACTTTACCTACTGAGCTATCCCTGCCCCTACAAAACATGGCTCTATTCATAGCATAGCATGTAAATGTGAGAGTAAAAATAGTGATATCTTATAATTATATCAAATTTGTACAAAGTATGTTCAGTGTATAGAGACAAACGTATATAGCGGATCCTAGGGATCTATTAGGTAATACAAAAGGTAAAAACATGTTTTATATCCTCTTTTATTCATTTCTTGAGAGTTATTGATGTTTCTGTAAAACACTAGAATTCTGTAAATTCTGACATTTTGAAAATGCATATCATTTATTTATTATAGTTTATTTAAATGAGCAAAAATACATTTTCATAAATCTAATTTTTAAAAAGCTTTAAGCAATTACCAGTCATGGTGTCACGGTTCTGGGTCAGTTTAACCCAGTATTTTGAGTTGTCATGTTTTTGCAGGTTTGGTTTAGTTCCATGTGTCATTTTCTGTCTGTCTCTCAGTGTAGAGTCTGCGTCTTAGTGTGATGGTTTCTTCTTCCTGTTTTATTGTGAAGGTCTGCGTCTCATGTGAGTGTGTTCAGTTTTACCTCTGTCTCGTCTTGTTGATTATTCCCAGCTGTGTCCACCACCTGTGTGTAATTCCCCTGTGTTTCTCTGTGTATTTAAGTCGTGTCCTCTGTCATTGTAGTTGCTGGTCTGTCTGTGTATCCACCATGTCTCACCCGTGTGTTCTCCCTGCTGTCCAGCTCCTCTGCTCGTTCTCATTCTTGTCCAGGTTTGTGCTCTGTAGTTTAGTTGTTTCCAGTCTAGTTTAGTTCGTGCTCCATTTGCTGTTTGTCCATATTTATTTCGTGTTCAATAAACCACCTTCACTTCTCCACTACTGCCTGCGATTGGATCCTCATTTATTATTTTCACACGGCTCTCCTCACCCACCGTGACACATGGTTCACTCCCTGATTTAAAAAAAAAAAAAAGATTGAATTACAAATTACCAGGATTTATTTGACACCATTTGCAGAGGTTTTTAATGCAGTGGTGTTCTTTTATCATAGCCAATGTTCAGCTTGAAAATTAAATGATAGAGATTTACTTATATGACAAGGTTATCACTATGAAGACCACCATTTTTTAAATAAATGAGAAATGTTCACAAAATGTTGTGATATAGCCTTGGATTTTAGATGCTGGTGTTAACAGACTTCAAGCTTTGGAGGATATTAATAGCCTGTTAAGCTGTCCTCAACCTTTTGTGCTTGGGTACACTCCATCACCCACTATGAGAGGCATAAAACTCACTAAGCTTCCATGCACGCAAGCATGTGCACTTTATCGATATCCACCTGCATTAACTCAGCAGCTTCATCAGTCTATCAGTGATCCACACACCCATCACTCCAGCCCTGCAAATGATTCAAAGGAGGCTTATCCTTAGACATATCCTTTTAATCAAATGTGGATAAATTATGAGCTGCAAATAGTCATCATCGGAGACCCGAAGAAACAACCCTTTTAAACATGTCTTCCAACATCTTTTTATGACTACACCTACACCTAAAATTTCCCGGTGGATTCCTGCTGTTAAAATTTCCTCGATTTTCATCATTACAAAATGCTAAACTTCAACAGTGACAGTCTCACAGCAAACTACATGCAATCTAATGATGTTATTTCAGGGTGATCTTGGCTGTACACAAGACTGGTCCTAAGCATGAGCAACTTTTTTGTTAGACAAAAGCTACAAATGTTTGTTAACTTATTTTCATTAGCCTTCAGTTTCGCTTAACTGCCCCTTTTCTTTCCCCATCATAAAGTAAAACAGAGAATGGATTATTTCCATTTAATACTGTCTTAGAACAACCAAATATATTTAAAAATGATTAGTTAAACTTAAAATTAAGGGAGTGCATCACTTACCCACCACTAGCCTGTCAAATAATCTAGTAAAGTTTAATTTATATCTATATTTAAAACTAATGGTTATTTGTATTGTTGTCTGCAGTCATTTTACTTTTGGCACAAGCAATTCCACTGATGTGTACAAAGCTTTTGAGATTCACAGCTGAGAGAAGCCTTAACTGATTCAATGCAGCATTACTACATTTAACTTTTTTTCCCACAGTGACAAAACTTGTGAAAAAGTTGGGACACTGTAAAATCAGAATCAGAATCGTGTTTATTGGCCAAGTATATGTGCAGACACATACAGGGAATTTGGTTCCGGTAGATGGTGGCTCTCAAGCACAGCAATGTAAAACACACACACACACACACAAACACACACACACACACACACACACACACACGTGTCTATATATACACATTACACATACATACACAAAGCTGTGTAAACCAACTATAAATAACGAATCTAAACTTATATACATATAATACAGAAATGAATGAGGTGGAATGAATACTACAAAATGTACATAAGGTGCAGCTGCAGTCTGGCAGTGGGAGCAGTGTGACAGGTCAACTGTTAAGAAGGGAGATGGCGAGGGGAAAGAAACTGTTCCTGTGTCGGGTGGTCCTGGTCTGCAGGCTTCTGTACCGTCTGCCAGAGGGCAGCAGATCAAAAAGTCTGTGTCCAGGGTGTGAGGGGTCTGTGATGATTTTCCCTGCCCGTTTCCTGGTTCTTGAGAGGTACAGATCCTGGATGGAGGGCAGGGGCATGCCGATGATCCTTTCTGCTGCCCGTGCAGTCCGCTGCAGTCTGCTCCTATCCTGTTTAGTGGCTGCTCCATACCAGACTGTGATGGAGGAGCACAGGACAGACTCAATGACCGCAGTGTAGAACTGGATCAGCAGCTCCTGTGGAAGACTGTACTTCCCCAGTTGTCTCAGGAAGTACATCCTCTGCTGGGTCTTTTTGAGGATGGAGTTGATGTTGGTCTCCCACTTCAGATCCTGGGAGATGGTTGTACCCAGGAACTTCAAGGTCTTCACAGTTGACACAGGGCTGTCTGATATGGTGAGGGGGAGCAGAGTTGAGGGATGTCTCCTGAAGTCCACTGTCATCTCTACAGTCTTAAGAGTGTTCAGCTCCAGATTGTGCTGACTGCACCAGAGTACCAGCCGCTCAACTTCCTGCCGGTATGCAGACTCATCACCATCTTGAATGAGGCCAATGACAGTGGTGTCATCTGCAAACTTTAGGAGTTTGACAGCCGAGTTCTTGGAGATGCAGTCGTTAGTGTAGAGGGAGAACAGTAGTGGTGAGAGGACATGTAAATGTAAATAAAAACAGGATGCAGTGGTTATCTTAAACCCATATTCTATTCAAAATACAACAAAAAAACCCCCAAATGTTTAAGCATAATCATAAAAACTGTTGCCATATTTTGAGTTTGATAAAAACCGCTGGAATCAGATTTTGCTCCTAATTAGGTTAATTGGCAACACGATCAGGTATAAAAAGGACATCTCAGAGTTTCTCCAAGAAAAATAGGCAGCCGTTCACCAATCTACAAAAAAAAAAAAACGCACCTACAGATTATGAATCCATTTCAGAATAATGTTCCTCAAGAAAACTATGAATGTCACATCTCTACGTGCAAGGGACAAGTCTGAAAATAAATACTGGATGCCTGTTATAGTTGGGCCCTCATGCAGCACGATTCTGGCATGTAAATCATTACATGGGGTCAGACTTCTAGAAAACACTGTTTATGAACACAGCTCTCTGTGCCATCCACAAATGCAGGTTTAAGCTCTGATAAAAAAGCATCTTCCAGAAATGTTGCTGTCTTCTCCTGGCCAGAGGCCAGAGGCAAAATGAAAAACTGTTAAAATTTTTTATTAGAGTCCAGATTCTGAAGTGGCCTATCTGTAATATTTTGAGATAATCCACCCTTTACAGCTCTAGTCCAAAAATGTAATTTCTGTGTGGTAACAATTGTTCTTCTGATAATTATTTACCATGTTGTCAATAGTTGTGGTCAATAAAATGCAGCTGTATGAAAAAAAAAAAGTACACCTTCTTTCTTTATTAAAGCTTTACACATCCGGACATAATTAAAAATAAAATCCTCAGCAATTGGGCACACACAAGCCGAAGCAAAGAAGCACTGTGTGAAAAACTAAGTAGACTTTATTGCTTCCATAGAAATTACAAGGGTAACTAGCAACCAGGTACTGCTAATCAGGTGCACTTGATTAACTGATCATCTGTAAATATAAAGCAGAAGTTTTTGCAGTTTGCTGTTCTGAAGCATTCAGGTCTTTGCCACCCATCAATCTGGGAATGGTTTGAAGCTTCTTTCCAAATAATTTCAAGTCTCTCATTCTACAATGAGAAAGATTATTCACAAATGGAAGTTGCTAATCTTCCCAGGAGTGGCAGTCCCAAGAAATTCTCCCCAAGGTCAGACCATACACTGCTCAGAGAAATTGTAAAAAAAAAAAAAAAAAGATATTTTGATTTCACCCATTAAAAGAAACAGCAGAATTTCCAGAAGCATTTTTCCTGATAGGAGTCATATTCAACTACCATAGCCAGCTACTTCATACACACATTTTCTAAAAGAACTGGTTCTTACATGGCAGTTTTCTACTCTGTCTTAGCACTCAGAGCAGTTTACACAACTTGCCTCAGTCATA